CTACCGTTATATAGACCTCAGCATTAAGGTTGGTTCATTGTCTATTTTAACATCCTTATTTTCAAATATCTCTACATGAAAGTGATATTGTCTGGCTGTCAGCAACGTTCAGAGTTAATTGTTCTGGGATTCTTGATTTTTAGCTGGCAAAAGGCTTCCCTTAGGCTCCAGGGAGAGGCTTCTACTGTTTCCCATGTCCCCATAATTTTCTGTGTTCCAGTCCCTCCTCATGACAACTCCTGATTGCAGGATGCCTGTTAAAAAAAGACAATGCCAATCCAGACTTTTATGTGAAACCTGTAACCTTTTGATGTTGCAACTGATTCGTAAAAATACTGCAAATCAAGGCATGTGACAGCTCTTGTCCTGGCGGCCATGTCACCGGCTTCTACATGATGCTGGTTAGCCTAGGGCTTTTCTCTCCGCCTCGGACTAGCTCTCTTGTCCTGGTTTACACCTCATATGCCCACAGTAGGCCCTGTAGAAAGAAAAGTTATTTTCCCATCTTGAACCTATGAGCCAGTTTGGCTCTCTGCTGCCTCTGAGTTTTAACACCATCCAGTTTCTTAGGTCTTTTGCTGTGAGTGTGGGGAACATTAATGAGCCTCTGGGAGAAGGCTAGATCCAGTCTCAGTCTAGGGTTGTCTGATCCCTGAGCACTAGCCAAGTTCAGGGAAAACACTGTCTTGACAAAACACAGGGCATGGGATGGATGCTAGAAGTAGTTAAGAGGTCTCTGCCTCGGTGGCGTGGCAGAGGTTGGGCTGGGTGAAGAGGAATCATTAGTTAGCTGAGAAGGATGTTCTTGCCCTAGGTGGCAATTGTCCATGTGGTAACAGGGCAGATGAGGTGGGGGGAAGGGAGTGGAAGTCTGCAGACAACAGGGGTCAGGGAATGATGGGAACCTAAGTCCAGCCTCCAAGTCTCAGTGTCTGGATCTCTGTTCAATTGGCAGTAAGTTCTTATCTGTGAAATGCTGTGAGGCAGACAAGTAGGACCCTAAGCTCAGAATGCCGCAGTGACAATTTGTTAGGTGTGTGCATGCATGCTGTATGTGTATGTGTGTTGTGTGTGTTTTTGACAGACAGACAGATTGGCAGGGGGAAGTTCGGGCCCATGAGGCACAGTGGAGGTCCCCTATTTATGAGTCTCAGAAGAAAGGGGAGGCGTCGTGTAGAGGCTAGGCAGTCTCTGATTCTCTGGTGGGTGGCGGCAGGAGGAGAGGGAGTCTTGTATGAGCAGGCAGGACTCCAAGGAGATGAAGGAGCGAGGGAGGTCGAAGGAGTGGTACATTTAGTTGACGGCCCCATCCCAGGGGTGGGCCGCTGCAGTGCCAGAGACTGGCAATCTGGGGGCTGTAAACTTCCTTAGGGAGGTGAGAATGGTGTCTGCTCTTCTTCTGGAATCGGGGCACCGGGGCACCTGTTAGGAGGTTAGAGAGTCACGGTAGAAGGGCTGCCGTACCCTCGGTGGTGGCAATAAGAGGCTGCTACAGGCGTCCATGGCACAGTTAGCCTGCAGTCCCAAACTTAGCAAAAATAAATCGTCCTTTGACTTATTTCTTTTAACCATGATGAAACATGAACATAGTGGCCGGACATATATGTCAAATTCAACCCGAAGGCGAGCCTGCCAAGGCTTTGTGACACCTGCGAAGTCTGCTCTCAGGTAAGGGAACATCTTCCCCTGGGCTGGGCTTGTTGATACGCTGCAATGCGTTTTGCACGTGATCAGACCAGACTGAGAATGGAAGCTGGAGAGGTGGGCTAGAGGAGAGGAAAAAGTGGACCCCCCATAAGGGTGTGAATGTTGCAGGGAGAAGGAAAATGTTCCTTGGCAATCTTTCAGTTGGGAGGGGTGGTATTTGCTAGCAGTTGTACAAGGCTGTCCAGTGAAGCCAAGTGACAGGCATGGGGAATCTGCACTGTCTCAACGTCCATCTGTAACTAGACAACAGACAGCAATGGTACATTTAATATATCAAGTTCTAAGAAATGCAAATTGTCATAATGGCCCACTCTTCCAGAAGCTTCAGAGTGAGTTGAAAGGGTGAATAGAAATAAAGGGTGGCCGTTGCTCAAAAGTATGTGGCTTGCAAAGCTGTGAGCCCCGCCACTTCCCAGGTATTTCCTCAAACTCTACTGGAGTTTCCATGGAGAAGCAGCTGCCAGTTTTACCCATACTGGGCCCCCAACCCCATCTACTGAGCCTCCCCTGTTGTTCCAGGGCTACAGGTGGGTACCTGAAATTCTCCCAGGACCTGGGTCCTCCTGTGGCTTGGCCATCCCAGGTTCACCTGGCTCTGGCTCTGGAGTATCCAGCTGATTTTACGGCTGTGGAAGAATGAGTGGTAGGATACCACATGGCTACCTGACCTGGGGGATGATGACTGAGGGATGAGAAGATACAGAAGACAGTAAAGCTTGGGATCAGGAAGTCCTGCACAAGCTGATGGCTCATGTGTAAGCAGGTTTATTAAGAATCTTATATACAGTTTGTGGGGAGAAAAAGGAGACAGAGTCAACATGAAGCCATCATACAATAAGATGAAGCCAGCAGGAATTAATCAAGAAATGTTACACAAAGGGATATTAGGGTATCTCAAGAGCAGCACATATCAAGTACACAACAGCCTTGGGACTGAAACCCTAGGCCCCTTAAGGTGGGAAGAGTTGGGTTCTCAGGACTCAAAGCTGCAGTCCCTTCCCCCAAGGCCCTGGTCCCAGGCTATTATTGGCTCTGCCAAGCACATTATTAGTTTCAGAGAAGGACCTATGCTCCTTCTCCACACGCCAGGGCCTCAGGGAAAGCTCCCAAGGCTTTAACTGGCTCTGCCAAGCATGTTCCTGGTTTAGAGAAGGAGCTATGTTCTTTGACATAACAGGGCTTAAGGAAAGCCTCAGGCCGGTACTCAACAGCTATCCCTAGATGATTAGGGCAAGATACTGGAAGTTGTTGATACTTGACCATTCTGACCCCCAAAATGGCAGTTTCTCATGGTTTAGTCTAAACTTTCAGTAAAGGGAGAGAAAGGTAGGAAACAGAAGTCCCCAAAGTTGCCTGCACCAGGAACAAAATGTGACCCGGTGAGCTACAATAACTGATGTGAAAGATATGTCTGTGGACGCAATAGTGGCATGAATGTTATGGGTTAACCAACTGCTTACTGATTGGATTCAAGCCCTGCTCCACAGGAGGAAACATATGCCTGGCACTGTAAAGCTGGGGAGCTTGTAGGCCCCCAGGAGTCTACTATTATTCCGCTGAAAGTATCTCCACACTCATAGTTCAGTGCAGCTTTCAGACTCCATCAAATAAATTTCTTTGTGCAGTGGATGGGAGTTAACAAAGAAACTCATAAACAGAGCCTAAGTGTTTATGGAGGCTCTGCCATAAATGGGTCTTCTATAGCACACCCACTCCCCACCAGGCTCAGGGACCATTGTGGATGGGGGGGGTGGAAAAACAGGTGAAGCCAGAGGGCAGGGAGGACTGGAACAAAGCAGTGTCTTCTGGACACAGCAGGCCCACTGAACCCATGAGCTCACAGAAGCTCTTGTTCCCTTCATAAGACCTGTACAAGATTAAATCTATCTCCCAGAATGGCTTACCAGTCCCCAGCCCTAGTTGAGGAGCCAGTGACAGGTGGCTCTGGGGAAGGGAGAGTGCGGCTTTTGGTAGGTTGATCGTACTCCAGTGGGTGGCCTCACACCCACGAGTATGTGGGTAACAAAAATTAGACTCAGTGGGTTATTTTTTTTAAAAGACAAGAGTACACAAAGTTGGGAGGCAAAAGGGTGGATCTGGAAGGAGTCTGAGAGAGGAATAGGGGAGAAAAATAACCAACATATATTGTATACATGTATAAAAATTATCAAATAATTAATAAAAAATATATTTAAAAAAAGAAGCAAAATATGGGAGGCTGGGAAGATGTGTGGCAATGAAGAGTTAAGTGTGCCTCTTCTGAAGGACCTGAGCTTGATTCCCAGTTCCAGATGATCTGATTCCTTCTTCTGGCCTCTTCAGGCCATCGCATGCATGATATACACTCACACATTCAGACACATTTACATATAAATAAAAATAAATCTTTTAATGATAGGGTCTCACTCTATAGACCACACTGGCATGGAGCTTACTGAGATCCACTTGTTTTTTTTTTGCTGTGGGATAATGCCCTGTACACTGTAACGATTTGTCACTCAAATTGGTTTAATAAAACACTGATTGGCCGGTAGCTGGGCAGGAAGTTAGGCAGGAGAGCCAAACTGAGAATGCTGGGAAGGAGGTGGGTGGAGTCAGGAGTTGCCAGCAAGATGAGAATGTTGCACTGAGAAAAGGCACCAAACCATATGGCTAAACATAGATAAGAATTATGGGTTAATTTAAGTGTAAGAGCTAGTCAGTAATAAGCCTGAGCTACCGGCTGAGCATTATAAGTAATATTAAGCCTTGGAGTCATTATTTAAAAAGTGGCTGCCGGGTGACTGGGAATAGGCAGGCTGGAGAGAAACTTCCATTTACAGTCTCTGACTCCTGACTGCTAGGACTAAAGGTGTGCATCACCTTACCTGGCCAAAAACACATCTTTAAAGCAAACAAACAAAGCAGCAGTAAAATACAGTGGCTAAGCCTGCTGTGGTGACAAGCATCCTTAGCCTCAACAGTTGGAGGCAGAGGCAGAGGCAAGGGCAAGTGGATCTCTGTGAGTTCTAGGCCAACCTGGTCTACTTAGAAAGATCCAGGTCCCATCTCAAAACAAAACAAAAAACCCCACAACAACAACAAAAACCCAAATAAAAAATGATGACTAGCGAGATGGGCCAGCAGATAAAGGTGCTTGCCACTAACTCTGATGACCTGAGTTCAATCCTTGGGACCCACATGTTAGAAGGAGAGGACCAACCCCCTCAAGCTGTCCTCTGACCTCTACACATACACGGCACATATATGCCCCCCCCCAATATACAAATAAACGTAAAAACAAGAAGCAAATATGTTTTCTAGCACATTACTCTCCCAATTTATTTGAGCACCTGAACACATACAAACACACAAACACAAAGAGAGAGAGAGAGAGAGAGAGAGAAAGGGGGGGGAGGGAGGGAGAGAAATAAACCTTTTCAAAGGGAAATCTGGATACAGGAACAACAGAAGATGGGAAATCATGCTGTGTCTGAAAACCAAGGAATGATGGAGGCTTCTTTAGTAGAAGCCAGGAGAGACATGGGAAACAGTTTCCACCCAGGACCTTCAGAAGGAGCAAGGTTTTCTTAATACTTTAACTAGACTTCCGGCCTCTGGGCCAGTGAACTAAGAGAGTGAAGTTTTGTTGGTTTAAACCACCTAGCTTGTAGTTCTGTATTATCGGCCCTGAGAGCTAACAGAGCCTTCTTCCAGTCATGACAAACCACAGTGCTGCAAGGTACAATAGTACAGGCTGAGGTAAAAATGAACAATGGTTTAATCTCTAGGATCCCAGATGACAGATGTGTGGGATCCATCCTCATAGCAAGGAGCTGTGTTCCCTACTATGGCCAGAAAGAGGTCTGTTCACATACAGCAAACCCGCTTTGTAACACACAGTACACACACAGTACGTGCTTATGTACACGTGCACTCCACACACCCCACTCCACTTCCATGTTTGCAGGACAAGTTTCAATACAGTCTTCTTTCTGCCGTCTGCAGTGGAGCAGGTGCTGTGCTTGTTAGCTCTGAAGTCTGTTCACACTTCAGGACCACAGATCTGTCCTAGGGATACAGATGACCGCGGAGACTCTCTCAGGGAGTGCTTCTTATGAAAAAGTCTGCAAGGTGGACAGTTCCTGCAGCCCTGTATTTCAGAGGCTGTCCTGAAGGGTCTGTGAGCCAGGCTTTCTCCTGGGGATTCAGCAGCTGGGACAGGAGTGGAGATAGGTGCCGCTTCTGGAGGAGGACCTCATGCAGAACAGTGTGGACTTGACCAGAAGTTCTGTTATGTCAAACGTTTGTCAGGATCCAGCTTTATAAATAAAGCTAAACCAACAAAACAACAGATGATTGTAAGTCAACTGTTTTCCATTTCATGAGACCAAGCAGGAAGAGACTAGAAAGGGATTTCTTGTATCTCTATCTTTCTATTCTCATTTCTCAGAAAACTTAAGAACCAACTTTTGGCTGGGGGTGGTGGTGCAAACATTTAATACCAGGACATGGAAGGCAGAGAGGCAGGTGGATCTCTCTGAGTGCAAAGCCAGCCTGGTCTACGGAGTGAGTTCCATACCAGCTAGACCCTGTCTCAAAAATCAATCAATCAACTTTTGATTGTCCAAGTCATTACCTTCCCTCACCTCTTCCAGGTCCTCTACTACTTCATGATTCATAAATACTTCTATCAAGAGGAAGCCAGGAAAATGAGAATAAGTTTACAACTCAGTCAACTGATAAGGAAGGTTTAGTGAGCTTGCTAATAAGTTTTAACTGTCAACCTGACAGTCTTGGTACCCGAGAAGGGTGTCTCAATTGAGGGATTGCTCATATCAGATTGGTCTATGGAAGCAGGTAGCTCTGGGCTGTCTAAGGCTAGGCATGAGCCTGCTTACTGAAGCAGTGTCTCTCTATGGTTTCTGTCCTGAGTTCTTGCCCTGACTTCCCTCATTGGTGGACTGTGACCTGAAGTGTAAGCTGAAATAAATTTTTTCTTTCTCTACACTGCATTTGGTCAGAGCGTTTTTACCACAGTAACAGAAGCAATCTAGACTAGAAAGACTTGGAATAGAGCTGCAAACTGACTGTGGATTCAGACCACTAATGCCACCTTCCTGCTCCCTTACCCATTGTTCTTGTGAAAAGCTGACACTTAGGGAGAAAGTGGATTTTTTCCCCCCGAGACAGAGTTTCTCTGTGTAGTTTTGGTGCCTGTCCTGAGTCTCACTCTGTAGACCAGGCCAGCCTCGAACTCACAGAGATTCGCCTGGCTCTGCCTCCTGAGTGCTGGGATTAAAGGCTCGTGCCACCACTGCCTGGCTGAAGGTGGATTTCTTAAACAGGGTTTGAAAAGGGGAAAAAAAAATACTAAACGTGATTATATTGGCATGAAAAAGAGATGCTTTAAAGCAAATAAAACCATCGTCCACACTGAAAGATGTATGTAGTTTCTACTTAGCCAACACAGGCTTAACCTAAACTAACTAAAGAATTCCTACAAATTTGTAAAAACAAGAAAAAAGGAAAGACAAACCAATGGGAATTTCACAGAATGGGAAACAAATATGGCCAGTGAACATATGAAGAACTCTATAGGTTACCTGGGAAATGAAAATCTAAAGGACATTAAGATCCTATTTTAGTCAGGCATGGTGACGCAGACCTTTAATCCTAGCATTTGGGAGGCAGAGGCAGGCGGAGCTCTGTGAGTTTGAGGCCAGCCTGGGTTACATAATGAGACCTTGTCTCAAAAGGGAAAAAAAAAAAGATTCCATTTAAAAACCGTTTATTAGTAAAGAATTGAGAAAGCTGACTGTCAACTGCTAGAGAAGACAGGGATCAAAAGAGTGTCGTACATTTGGGGGCAGCTTCTGAGGATGAGGTGGGCTCCTGTGCACAGCTGAGCACCGACAGACACACCCGACAGTCAGAAACTCCAGAAACTCCGCCGCTGGGCAGATGCCACGCTCCTGCCTTGCGGAGGACACCGGCAAGGACACACAGCAGGGGCAGGAGCAGAGCCCATGATCAGACAAGCATGTCAATGCAGTGGGTGGCTCATGGAGTATTACTCGGAAGCAGAAATAAGAGAACAGAGCCCAGAACGTGGATGAATCTCAGCAACATACAATTCAGTGAAAACCAAACCCAGAAAAAGTCACCCGCCACAATCTCTTTTCTACAAAGTTAAAAATGAACAACTAAAGAATACTTCCCTTAGATGTATGCTATTCTTTTCTTTTCTTTTCTTTTTTTTTTTTTTTTGAGGGAAAGTCTTACTATAATAGCTCATGCTGGCCTCAAACTCACAATCCCCCTGTCTCAGACTCCCTAATGCAGGGATTATGGGTATGAACCATTTTACTCAACTATTTTGAGACAGGGTTTCTCTGTGTAGCTCTAGCTGTCTTGGAACTCACTCTATAGACTAGGCTGGCCTCAAAATCACAGAGATCCGCCTGCCTCTGATTGCTGGGGCTAAAGGTGTGTGCCCTACACCATGCATGCTCAACCATCCTTAACGAAATTAAAAAAATAAAAGTTAGAAGCTACAAAATAATGCAAGCTATTAAATTCAAGATCAGAGTTATCATTAAGCAGGAAGAAAAGATGAGGACAGCAGTTATGTAGAGATAAAATATGATAAGAGTCTGGTTCCTGTTTGGTGGCAGGCCCTAGGGTATTATTTATTATTAAGTTTAGTAGATGAATAAATAAAAGATGAACAGTTATATACCAGTGAGGATCATGTCATAACTCAAGAATTACGATTAGTATAAACATGTACATCTGAGGTGCACTAAATAAAAACTGAAAATGTAACTAATGCTGTGTAAGCGATGTATGCATCTGAATCTGAGGCTTCCAGGGCCCTGCAAAGTCCCTGTTGGATGCATTGCTCAAAGCACAAACAGGAGACATTTCTAGGTGAGATTTCTGGCAAGCTGCCTATATAGATCTCAGCAGGAAGGAACCTGCATCTCTAAGTCAGCAGAAATAAAGTGTGGTTTCTTTTCACATCCTAACTAAGTTTTCATGTTTATACCAAATGTTGAATTCTTTTTTTTTTTTTTTTGTTAAATTGGGCTTCTTCTAAGTTTGTGACCCATAAAATTCAGTTTCATTCCTGGTAATCATTTCCTGTGTCTTTTACTCTCAGGACGTACACAGCGCCTACAGTGAACTGCCCACCCAGTCCCCTTTCCAGAACAGTCACCCATGCACCTTTCAAGAGCTGGTCTATGCACATGCAAATAATCTGTAGACATTTGCCTTTCCTTCCATTTCATATTTTTTTACTCTGAAACAATTTCAAGCTTATAGAAAAATTGTGAGGTTGGCACAAAGGTATCTCTCTCTCTAAACTATTAGAGAATAACTTAGCAAAGTATGCATAACATGATTTTTCAAAAGGTATTATACTATTTGAAAGAACAACAGATTGGGGAAACACACATGTCCAGTGAGTGTCTCCCATGCAACCACAGGATTTACTGTTACTTTTCCCTACTTATGACTGCGTGTCAGAGTGAGCCTGCTCCCATCGCCGCTGCCATGCTCCAGGGACACCTTCCTTGGGCTCTGGCACCCTGTGGTGGGCTACTCCCTCGTGCATATACCCTCCTTATCCTGTCCAGACTCTGATGCTGCTGGCCACTGTTGCTGCTCTTCCTGGTATGTGTGTGGGTCTCCATGTCCCTGGGCTTATCACATCAGGTCTACATAATGGCTCTTAGAGTAAATACAGGGAGGGAGGAGAGGAAGGAGGCAAGCGCAAGGGAAGGGGAGGGGAGGGAAGAAATGGAAGGACTTCTGCCCTGACCCCTGTGGTTCTCACCCAGTGTATGTTAATGAGCTTGCTTCACCTCAGACTTTCCTCACTTTTGCCTATGGTACTAAACCAGTCTACAGTGTTTTTATGGCATACATTAGGGAAGAACTGTAGTTCTTTAGCCAGTTTTCCACTGAAGTGAGTCAAAGCTTTGCTCATTCTTTTGCAGTTGAAGTGAGGGATGCACCAATACTTTAACCATAGAACCCTCTATGTTACCTATGAGATACAGTTCTGAATTAGATCAAATGTTATCTCACCTCCATTTGGAATGGATATTGGCAAATAGGTCCTTCACTAGCAGTAGGTAAGAATGTCCTTAGCCATGGGGCTGGGTACTTAGTTCAGTGACAGGGTGCTTGCCTACTATGTACAAAGCCTTGGGGTTTGATCCAGCACTGACACCCCTGACACCCCCAGTCCCCGCCCCACCAAAAAACCCCCACAAAAAACCAATACCCAACCAACCTAAGCCAGGTGTGGTGGGATGATTCAAGCTTGTCATTCTAGTACTCAGGAAGTAGAGGCGGGAAGACCAGCTCAGGGTCATCCTTTGCTGCATAACAACTTCAAGGCCATCCCAGGCTACATGAAAGCTTGTCTCAAACAAACACTCAAACCCAACCCAACTCCAAACCCTAACCCAGGCCAACCTCCCGGAGACAGTGCAGCTTCTCACCTGTTGCTGATGTGTATAAAGTCTTCTCATCAATACTCTGGATATCACAGGAAATAAAAAGTTTCCTTCCTTCCGTCTTACTAAGTTTGCTGTTTACCACCACAACAGAACAAAGGGGGATAGGTCTGCAGAAGGGGGAAAAAGGCCATCAGGTCATGGCAGGGTGGATACATACCCTATGCTAGTGAGTGCTGACCTCTTAGCTGGATCGTTCCTTAAGGGCTCGGACATCAACAGTGTCTCCTCTCCCTCCGGCTTCCTTCCCCCCACACTCTTGGGCATATGGTCCCAGACTGCCCTTCTGGGCTTCAGTTCAGAGATCACTAGGGATTCCAGCTCTGTTTTGGCAGACTTTCCCATTTGGAGATCCAGAGCCTAGTCTGATGCTGTAGCAGAAAGAAGTGAAAACAGGGCCATGGGATAGTCCTTGTTAGTGTCTCTGCTATTTTCAAAATTTCCTGGGCCAGTTAGATGGCTCAGCAGGTAAAGACTCTTGCAGCCAAGCCTGATGGCCTGAGTTCAATCCCTGGGGCCTGCATGGTGGAGGGAGAACTACAAGTTGGCCCCTGACCTCCACATGCATGCTATGGTACACCTGTACCCCGCTCTAGACATAATGAATACATACATGTAATTAACAATTTTCTTATCTACTTCTTTTTAGAGTACTTGTCTGGTGACAGCCTTATTATTCTAAGCCAGTGCTATGATGATATAAAGGTCCCAGAGCTGAGATGTCCAATGTGGTAGTTACATGTGCCTACTGATCACCTGAAATGTGGCTAGTATAAATGAGAAACTGAATCTTACAATTTATTTCATTTTAATTAACTTATACTTAGATTAAAAAAGCTACAGGTGATAGTGGCTAGTCATCTGGGGACTCCTGGAGCTAGAGTACCACAGTGAAAAAGAACTTTCTTTGAAGGTCAGAGTTCTGTTGGTCGATGCAAAAGGTAGAACATGGAAATGTCCTCTGTTCCTACAGCACCACCATGTGGATTAAAGGACTCTAAGACACAAGGAAGTTGTCACTGTGGTTGCCCCCTGGCCCAGGCTCCCCTCCCATTACCTTTTAACATTCCATTCCATTAGCTTTCCCTGACCCTGTTGATACGGGGTCATCAGGCTTTGCTCTTCTATTGGTGTCTATCCAAATTTGTCAAGGTCCTGGGGATAGCTGGTGTTCTTACCTGTTCAGCATCTCTTTTTTTTTTTCTTTCTTTCTTTCTTTTTTTTTTTTTTTGGTTTTTCGAGACAGGGTTTCTCTGTGTAGCTTTGCGCCTTTCCTGGAGCTCACTTGGTAGCCCAGGCTGGCCTCGAACTCACAGAGATCCGCCTGGCTCTGCCTCCCCAGTGCTGGGATTAAAGGCGTGCGCCACTAACGCCCGGCCCTTTTTCTTTTTTTAAAGTTCCTTTTTAAGATCTTAAAATTATGTTCGTTTATCTGTGTGATAGTATGTGCAGGTGAGTGCAATTCCCCAGAGAGGCCAGAAAAGGACATTAGATCCCCTGGACCTGGAGCTACAGATAGTAACTACCTAATGTGAGTGCTGGGAACTGAACTCGGATCCTCTGAAAGAACAGTAAGTGCTCTTAACCAACCTCTGACCCATCTACCCAGCCCCTCCCCCCCAACTTTTTATTTGTTTATCTACTTATTTTATATGTGTTAAATGTGTAAGGGCAGACGTGTATGTTTCACCAGGAATGCTGGCAAGGGAGGTCAGAGGACAACTTTGGGAGTTCTCTCCTGCCTTGCTAAGGTAGGAGCTATTGCTGCCACGCCCAGACTGATTATTTTGGAGCTGTTTTCTCTGTACCTACTACTGCTTATTTTAGGTACAAATTGATCTTTGCTGATCTCAGTTTTCTTCTGGTTGGCTTTTGTCTCACGTATTTTTCCTTTCTTTAAAACTTTTCTGTATCAGGCTAGGTACAGTGGTGCCAACTTTGATCCCAGCACTCAGGAGACAGAGGCTGGAGGATCTTTGTGAGTTCAAGGCCAGCCTGGTCTATATATGGTATCCTAGACCAGCCAGGGCCATATAGAGAGACCTTGTTCTAAAAGCAAAAACAAACAAAAAACTTACAAATGTCTCACATATTTTCTCAGCTTTTTACTTAGACTCAGTTTTATGACCTGTGTTGGACGACGGTCTGGTCAGTCAGTATCCTGACTTCTTGCTGCACTGTCTTTCTTTGCTTCCTATTTGATTCACATTTCTGAACTCCCCCCGCCTTGTTTTAAAAACTGACTTTTTCCTCTTTGTCCTTTTCTCCTGTTTTCTCTATTAATGATCACTCATTTTAATCTCCTCCCTACTGAAAAACACAAGGGATTCTGTTCACCTTCTCCCCAACTCTGTCATTGTTTCAGCTTCTTGCTGTTCTCCGGGATGCAGACATCCGTCTTGCAGCTGAGACCCATGCTCTGCACAGGCACCATTTATCTGCTCACCGCCTTTGCTGCCACTCTGCCTCCGGTCACTCTGCCACTGAGTTACTTCCTTCCTTCGTGGCAGTCTTCGATAGGTTCCATGGGCATTGTCCTATTTTTCCATAACCTTTCTCAAGTTTTGGTTCAATGAAAACTTGACTTTGCCCTCTGAACTTCAGCATGCTGGGAGCGTGGTTCTAGACTGGCCTAGATAACTGCTGAGTCTCTTCTGCTGCTGTGGGGAGGTTTATTGCTAGGATAATGGCGCCCTCTTGCTTCCAAAACAGCTCTCTTAGGGATGCTCTTTTGTCTTTGATGCTTTTAAGAGCGCTATAACTTCTCTAGGATACCTGTACAGACTTACTGTTATTTATCCTGATGGACAGTTACTGTATTTTCTGTGGATTTGTGTTGTTCTTTCATTCTAGAATGGAATCTAGAATAAATCTTAACCAAGAAGGAACTATCTTGTAGTGAGAAGTGATTATACAAACCAGGAGATTACAAAGAACCTAAGTTAATTTTCATTGAAAACACAGGGCAGGATTTAATTGTACATTTCAGAGGAGCCAGCTTCCTGAGTGTGAAGCCAACTGCTACCCACTGATCTGAACTCCTGAAAGGTAGAGAAGGAACAGAACGTAAATCATTGGGGTGAGAAAAGCGATAGGGCTAGGGTGCCTCCACCCATTCTTCTTTTCTTTGAGGAGGAGGAGCAAAGCTCTGCTTTAAGTCACTGCAGCGGGCTAGCATCAAGGAGGGGCTTCCCGAGCACGAAGCATTCGCTTTCAGAACCTTCATGTGGCAGTGATACACAGACATGCCACAAGGTGAGGCAGTTACAACAGGAAAATGAAAAGAAAGCTTGGGCCGTGGTTTTGAGTCTTCCTTCCTTCCTTTTGGTTTTTTTTTTTTTTTTTTTTTTTTTGAGACAGAGTTTCTCTGTGTAGCCCTGGCTATCCTGGAACTCACTCTGTAGACCAGGCTGGCCTTGAACTTAGAGATCTGTGCCTTCTGAGTACTGGGATTAAAGCTGTGCATCACCATCACCTGGCTTGAATTTCTAAATAGATTCAAAGAAAAGGTTTTGAACTTCATGGGCATTGTGTCTATACAGTAATTTCTTTAGCTCTATATTTCTGGTCACTTTCAGTTGCACTTAAATAGCCTCTTTGTTGTTTTTAAATAATTACACCTTTACATAAGAATTCTATTAAATTCCACAATAAATCTAATTAATAATCTTTAGTTTCTTTATATTTTCTCTTTTTTGTGATTTTTTTCTTTTATTTTCTTTAAGAATCTTACACGGTAGTATGTATTTGATTATCCCATAAAGATATCTAAAGTCATTGAGGATCTAAACTTATTATTTATTGTTTTTGCTGATACTTTTTAAAGCTTTTTAAAAATTTACTTTTATCTTGTATTTCTGTGTATATGTCTATATAAGTGTATATGCTATGTATGTAAAGGTGCCTATGGAGGCCAAAAGAGGATGTCAGAGCCCCTGGTGGTTGTGAGCTACCCAGCATGGGTGTAACTGCTGAGCTCTCTCTCCAGCCTGATACTCACACTTATGTATGCATGTATGTATGCATTTGATGCAGACTATGCTCATGTTGAAGGAAGAATGTCCTTGAGTATCTCTTTTTTTGCCACATAAAATCAGGAAGTCCAATGGAAAGCTTCTGGCCTGCTATGTCATGAGGTGGTTGTAGGCTCAGACACGGCCCTTTCAGCTCCACCAGTTCTGAACTGTTTCGTCCATCTCAATGTACAAGGGAACAGCTCAAATAGATTGGCTGGCTGGAAATTGAGATGGCTAAGGTGAGGTTTTGCTTTTTACAAGTAAAAAGGCTGCAACCCTCATAAAATTCCAGTGGCATTTTTTTTGGTAGAATTAAAAAGGCAATTCTGTGACTTGTGTGGGAACAAAACCAATCCCATTAGAGCAATCCTGAGAAAGAAGAAAGCTGGAGTATAGTATTTCTTGATCTCAGAATACATTACAAGACCAGAGTAACAAAACACAGTATTGGCATAAAGATAGATATATAAATCAATGGAACAGAACAAAAGGTTCAGAAGCAAACCCATTCATATACAGTCTACTGTTCCTGTGTGGTGTACATATTTGAGTGTGAGTGACTGCATGAAGGAAATGGAGGTCACTGTCTGGTGTCTTTCTCGGCCACTCTCTATTTCATATTTTGAGCCAGGGTCTTACTGAACCTAGAGTTCACTGCCTTGCTAGACTGTCTGGTCAGCAAGCCCCAGGAATCTTCCCCCCTTCTCCTCCCCAGCACTCTAACTGCAGTCATGTGGTGCAGTTAAAACGTGGGTGCTGGGGTTCTGAGCTCAGACCCTCATGCAATAACTTTACCAACTGAGTAATCTCCCCAATCTCACAGACAGTTGATCCTTGACAAGGGTGTCAAGAATACACAATGGACAAAATACAGTCTCTTTAACAAATGAAAAAATTGCATATTTATATGCAAAAGAACGGATGTAGAGCCACATCTGTGGGAGCCTGAGGGGCTTAAGACACCCTTTCCCAACTGTTTTTAGATGATAAATTTCAATCTTGTATAATTTTAATTTGAAGTTACCATTATTGGCCACTAGAGAGGAAGAAGTTAGAACAGCAAGTCTCTGAAGTCTGTGTTTCTTTTCTTTCTTTCTTTCTTTCTTTCTTTCTTTCTTTCTTTCTTTCTTTCTTTCTTTCTTTCTTTCTTTCTTTCTTTCT